CTTTTTCCATGCTACATTGATTTAAACATTTGTTTTTGTTTATTCTCATTCGCGCGGGGGTGGACTAACGCCAAGCGGGGCCACCCCCTTTATAAATACAGATTTTTTTGAAAGGCTACTTACATGTATCCCTCCAGTGTCGCCCAATCAGTTTGCACGCAAAATGCGTCACCAATGAGGGATGCGCTATTAAACCCCAAAATTTTTGGTAGTTAAGGTTTTGTATGTCCCTACGGTGGCATTTTAAGATCCCTACATGGTTATACATGAATATAATTATATAAAAATCAAGTAAATTTTCACTAAAAAAGGGGGGAAGTAACGGGGCTATATTACCTTTTTTACAGCTTCTGATTGGCTATAATTATGTAGGGGAAAAAGATAATTTTTTGGGGGGAACAAGATAATTTTTTTCGTGGGAACAAGATAATATCTCGTGGAACAAGATAATATATTGGGGGAACAAGATAATATCTCGTGTGAAAAAGAAAAATAAAGCCCACCATGTTACATCTGTGTCACCGTAAAGACACTTGACGTAATATATGTTTTCTTGCTCTGCGGGTTTGGTTTTACAAACATTTTTACATTTAAAATTATTTATATGTCAAATTTTTAAGAAACAATATTATTCAAAAACACGTGGCTGTCATTTTGCTTTAAATGCTAACTGGTTACAAAACAATTATCTTTTTTACCAAACAGAGTTATTAAAGTTATGTCCCCCGGGTGATATAAAAAATATCCCGGGGGAATATATATTCTAGGAGGGTGATATTCGATCAGAACACTTTTGTAGGCCTAGGGGAGTTTTACATAGAAGGTGTTTTAAAGGGTATAATAATATATAATTAACACTGATTGTCGGGGTGATAGAGGATATTGTAACACGAAAATTGGTATATTACACTGGGGCCCAGCGAGGGTAATATCCCAGTTAAAGGGGTTTGGGGCAATTCCTTATCCCCCCGACAGCTATGTGTTAGTTATTTTATTATACCAAAAAAAAACTTTTAAGTCAGCAGTTTTTTGCCTAAAAGAAAATTTAAAAGATCATCACTTTACGATTATTCGATTTTGATCTGAAAATGTTCATATACACACAAATAGTATAATGATATGATAAAAACAAGAGACAGACAGACAGACTGGAAATAAAAAATTTATGCTAACTGGGTACTAAGGCATTTTCGCTTTCTGAATGAGTTATGTAGAGTTTTTGTCTCCCAATGTGATATAAAAAAATTTCCCCCGGGGGAAATTTTCTGGGAGGGTGATATTCGCAAAACCACATTGTACCCCCTATGGGGGGTTTTACATTGAAGGATATATTGGGGTATAATAATAAAATTTTTAAATGACAAATCATATAGCAATTATAATGTTACTATTCGAATACTGTGAAATTTTTTTTTAAAATTTTACAAAAACTTTTAACATTTCTTCTCCATTCGACAAACGTTATTTTTAAATTATCACAATTTTCAATGAAAAATAGGGGTTAATGTATGTTTCGTTGTGATATATAATGACATAATATGTACCCTGTGCATCCCAGTGTGTTGACTTCGATCATCAAAGGATTTTTATGACACAATTCTATGAAAATTCAAAAAACCAATTAAAGTAACAACCTTTTTGTACTAAAGACAAATTCATCAAATGTTTGAGAAAATTATTATTTATGTCATCAACGAAAAAATGACTATGGGAGAAAAAGCATACCTCTTTTTTTGTCCAAAATGTTTCACTTTCAAGTTATATTAGTGTTCGCTATTAAAAACAAACTGCGCTTTAGTCGTGAAAATAACTCAAAAAACCTGATTTTAATCATTCCCCAAAAACGTTTTAAAAAAATTAATTCTGTCATAGACTTCAGCAATTTTATGTAGAAGCAAAATATAATTTAAATATAGATGAATTATTATTGTACCAGCCATTGCTCTTTGTCAAAGTTTTTTTTCTGCAAATCATTTTTCAAAAGCATGTACAAATGATGTCTTACCAAACTCATATTTTTGATATTTTGGAAATCCCTTATATTAATTAAATTTTGTGATTATTGTATATTTTTTTTAACAGATCACCTATAACAGTGATTTTTCGGGTGATTTCTACTCAAAAACCCTTTCCCCGGGTAAGTCGATGAATACCCAAATTTTAACTTGAGTTTACCTTGACCAAGCGTCCCCAATTCGTCCTTAAGGGGAAACCTTTCCCCAGTTTTAGTGGGGGTTGATTCGAGTGCGACACTGAATATAGCTAAAGTGTAGAGTAGCGCAATCACATGTTACAAGATATTTTGTAAAAAATGTTGACCCCTTAAAAAAAGCCCTTTAAAATAATACATTAGATTTTTTAAATTGTATAAAAATGCATAGTATATTTTTTTGGAAAAACAGTATATCATTGCCGGGGCAGAACCCAAAATTCCCCTGGGTCCATGAATTGAGTAAAAACCCCGTAGTTGTCAATGAGACAATGTTATACACAAAAAATCTTCTAAAAAAAAAGCTTTTAAAGGGGAGGTCATTGTGACTTTTCCTTTGATACTGACCAAAAACAAAAGGGCATTACTAGTCATGGCCAAACCCCCACACCCAAATTGAGGGCCATCAGAAAACATTGTTATTATTGAGCGAAAAAGGGATGGTCTACGGGCCGACGACCCCCGACATGGAAAAAACAAAATACCCCCCCTTTTCGAAAGGGGGGATAATAAATTATTTTTTTTGAAACTTTTTTATCATTTGGGACCGGTTCCCCTATGACCAACGTCCCTGAAGATTGTTTTTTATATTTTTTTTCGGGGGAAATGCATGATACAGAAGACGCCCCGTTCCCAAGGGGACCCTGGTTCTTTTAAGGGCCAGGGAAGCACCAGTGCAAAGCACCTCGGTTTAACTTATTTTTTCCCCCTTTTTAAAAGTAAGGGAGAAAACTGTAATCCAAAAATCAATTATTTTTAAATACATTTTTTTTAAAATTTTTTTAAAAATCTCACAAGCATCCCCCTAGAGTCCGGTGGTTCCGGGGTGATCCCGGAAAGACCCGGGGGACGTCCGTTAAATCTTTCGGCAACGTCCGGGGTGATCAAGGGGTCTGTGGGGCTCTACGGTGATTGTCGGCACTCTATCTGCCGTACCGGGGCTCGCCGGGATCATCCGGGACTTTTGCCAATATCCGGACTGTGCTAGCAGGATCTCAGTTTTATGAAACTCTTTTGACGAAAAACTTAACGCGTTTCGAAATCGTTTAGGTCATCCGTCGCCACTTATATCTGCATTTTCCGTAGTTTTTAACTGGGCTCTGCATGGATGGGCCCCGGGGTTCATCCTGGTTTTTATAGTATGGCATTGGGGATCGCCGTAGTTTTACCGGGGTTATTGAACTGCAACAATATTTTCATTCGGTCGTCTGGGGGGGTCCTGGGCTTTGCCGGGATGCTGGTGAGAACGCTATTAAATCGGGACTTTTTAAACTCTATGTAAACCTTTATAACTGGCTGATGCATTACTGTTTATCATAAAATAATGCAATTAAAAATAGAAAAGTTGAGACATTTATCGTTAACCCATTGGACATTTATGAGCACCTAAATTTTTTGCGACATTTTTTTTTGGAAAAATTTTTTCGTTAAAGGAGTTTTGGACATTTATCGGCGATTGGACATTTATCGTCAATTTTTGGACATTTATCGTGTTTGGGCATTTTTTTACGTTTGGACTATATCGGCGCTACAACTTATATTTTTTATTATTAAAAAAGGATAGGATTATCAAAAAAAACTCACATCTCGTCATATTTTACATACATCAGTAAATAATTTAGAGATAATGCAACAATTTTTAAATTTATCAGTCCTTCAGCAATTTTTTTTAAATCAATTTTTAAATTTATTTTCGCCACATAGTTTTTTTCATTCTATCCATCAAAAAAAATATATTCAATATAAAAATTTTAGACTTCAAAAAAATGTTTATCTCAAAATTTTTTATTTTTTCATTTAAATTTTACATATTTAGATTAATATGAAATTTAATACTTCGATAAATGTCTGCAAAATATTTAACCAACAAATGAGCATTGTATATCTTTAACCTTCTCATAATTGCTCAACTTACTTCATTTCTGTGGAAGATGTCTCTAAAGTTTGAGTTCTCTCTGCCAAACAATTAATTGTTGGGCAAGTGAATCAGTGACATCATTTAGATCATGGTCCGTGGTATTTTCTGTCTTAAATACAACGCTGTTTTTAAAAGACATAGGTTTTTGTGTCTCTTAAATAAAAAGTAGGACACATTGTGAACTCCTATTTTCGACTTATCCGCTTACCATTCTGGCATGGATAAGGGTTGAAGAAAATATTTTTACAAAGGATACAATCACAAAGAAATAATAATGTTAATGATTTTGGATATGATGTTAGCCTAAGGTTAGTATATTTTGGCTTTTGCTTAATTTTAAACCTTGTTGCGGACAACCGGTGCATCTACATATAAATTCTTTCAGTGCTCATGCTTAACAACGATGGAGAAAACTTGAAAGTTCGATGATGAAAGTCGAAACCACGATGCTGAAAGTCGAATATACGATAATGAAAAGTTGAAAGTGCGTCGAAATAACAAAACTACGACGGTGAAAAGCCGAAGGTACGGTGATAAAAAGTCGAAAGTAATATGGTTAAATTTCGAAATAACGAAACCACAATTAAAATCATATCGAGTTTTGTTTTTGGTTGAGGGATCTACAATTGAAATGTCGATGTCATTCATTATTTAAACAGATCACCAAAATATGAAAGAGTCACCGTTTAGTAGTGGTTGGATGCGCTTAAAAGGAAAGATCCGTCACAAACATAAAATATACGTATCAAAGTAATACGAAAGAAGAAATAAAAAAAAACCGAACGCACTGGCCATTCGTTAAACATAGAGTATAACAGTGTAATTAACAGATGAACAAGGGCAAATCTGCATGGGTTGAGACTACTTTTACATTTTAATCAGATTATTAAGAGATAGTGGAGATTTGTTTATTTGCACAAAGATATAACTCAGTATACATGTATCTCATAACAACATATCTATAGGGACATTAACATTCGTTTGAAACATGTAAAAGGTTCAAATTTCGATTTGATTACAATAAAAGTTTCACAAATGACAAAATGGCGATGAAGGGCAAGTGTGTAGCAGACGGTATCTAAATAAAGGAAAAAGAAAGTTTGAGGTATTTATATCTTGTATTTATAAACGTTTCGTCAGAAAATTTTCAATAATGACAATGTATTTATATATACTAGTAGTCTAATATGAAACTTACACAGAACAATAATGCATATTAAAAATATTGAAAAAATTATGAAAAAACAGCCCGCGGCCGAGTCAACATGTTGATACTTGTAAATTAGAACAGAGTCCCTATAATTTATTTTTATATATCCTTATGTCTATTAAAACACAACTCTTTATTTGTATCTCACAGCTTATGCGTAATGTATTCTTAAAAAGAAAATAATGAAAGTATGCTTATCTAGATCATATATATGTATTATTTATCTGATTTTACAATAAACAAAACAAAGGAGAATACTAGTAACATACAACCGTATGTGAGAAGTTAGCAGTGAACAGTGAGCTAAGCAAAAAGGCATTTCAATTTATATAGGGAAGGTAATGATCTGCTGTAATGCTCAGCTGTTTTTGGCATCTAGCAGGGCATTCCTAAATATAGTGTAAAAATGCTCTGCTGCAATACTCAGCTGGCTAGCTAAGCTGGCTAGGCAATCTAGCAGAGCATTCCTAGCTTTAGTGAAAAAATGCTCTGCTGGAACGCTCAGCTGGCTAGGCAATCTAGCAGTGCATTACTAAATATGGTGTTAAAATGCTCTGATGGAATGCTCAGCTGGCTAGCTAAGCTGGCTAGGCAATCTAGCAGGGCATTACTAAATAAAGTGTAAAAATGCTCTGCTGGAATGCTAAGCTGGCTAGGCAATCTAGCAGAGGCATTACCTAAATATAAGTTAAAAAATGCTCCCTGCTGGAATGCGAGAACGTACCGTGGGTAGGTCAAATCTAGCAGGACATTACTAAATACAGCTGGTAAAAATGCTCTGCTGAATGCATAAGCTGGGTAGGCAATCTAGCGGACATTACTGAAATACAGTGTAAAAATGCTCTGCTGGCAGTACTAAGCGCCTGGCTAGGAATCTAGCAGAGCATTACTCAAATATACAATTAAACAATGCTTTCTGGCATGCTAAGCTGGCTAGGCCATCTTTTTAGCAGGACATTACTAAATATAGTGTAACAAATGCTATTCTGGAATGCTTAAGCTGGCTAGGCCAAATCTAGCAGGGCATTACTAAATATAGATGGTAAAATGCTCTGCTGTCAATCTTCAGCTGGAATAGCTTAAGCTGGCTAGGCAATCTAGCCAGAGCATTCCTAGGCTTAGTGAAAAATGATCGCTGGAACGCTAGCTTGGCTACGGCAATCTAGCAGTGCATTACTAAAAAACATATCAGTGTTAAAATGCTCTGATGGAATGCTCAGCTGGCTAGCTAAGCTAGCTTAGGGTCAATCTAGCAGGGCCGATTACAAATAAAGTGTAAAAATGCTCTGCTGGAATGCTAAGCTGGGCTAGGCAATCTAGCAGAGCATTACTAAATATAGTGTAAAATGCCTCTGCTTGAATGCTAAGCTGGTAGGGCAATCTAGCAAGGACATTACTAAATACAGTGGTAAAAATGCCTCTGCTGGAATGCTAAGCTGGAAGGCAATCTAGCAGGACATTACTAAATACAGTGTAAAAAAATGCTCTGCTGGAATGCTAAGCTGGGTAGCCAATCTTAGCAGAACATACTAATATAGTGTAAAAATGCCGTCTGCTGGAATCGCTAAGCTGGCTAGGCAATCTAGCAGGGCATTACTAAATATAGTGTAAAAATGCTCTGGTTCTGGCATACTAAGGCTGTCTAGGCAATCTAGCAGGGCATTCTTAATATAGTGTAAAAATGCTCTGGTGGAATGCTAAGCTGCTAGGCAATCTAGCAGAGCATTACGAAATATAATGTAAAAATGCTCTGCTGGAATGCCAAGCTGGCTAGACAATCTAGCTGGGCATTACTAAATAAAGTGTTTAAAATGCTCTGTAGGAATGCTCAGCTGGCTAGGCACTATAGCAGAGCATTCCTTAATATAGTGGAAAAAATGCTTCTGGTGGAATGTTCAGCTGGCTATGTAATTAGCTAGCAGGGATTACTAATACAGTGTAAAAATGCTCTGGTGGAATGCTAAGCTGGCTAGGCAATCTAGCAGGGCATTCCGAAATATATTTAAAAAATGCTCTGTTGGAAGGCTCAGTTGCAGACTGATCCTGAGTTCCAGGATTTATTGTTGCCAAAGTTTTATTGACATTTTCGACTCTAGGCAATTCTGAGGCACTCGCAGACTTTCAGGAAATTTTCGGTGCAAATAGAAATAATGATATTTTTTACTTCTAAGGACCTTTAAGAGACTATTTCATTGTCCTGCGACTTTTTGAAGGACACTCGCAGACTTTCAGGAATTTTGGTGCCAATGCTGATATTGACAATTAAGACTTCTAGGGACTTTCAAGAGTCATTTTTGGTCGTCTGCGATTGATTCTTGGACACTCGCAGACTTTTCAGGAATGGTTGGTGCAAATGGAAATATTCATATTTTTGACTTCTATGGAACCTTTAAGAGTCCATTTCATTGGCCTGCAGCGTATTGTTGGACACTCGCAGACTTTCAGGAAATTTTTGGTGGCCAATAGAGATGATGGCAATTTTAGCTTCTGGGGACCCGCCAGAGTCCATTTTTATGGTCTGCGACTGAACTGCGACATTCGCAGACTTTCAGGAATCTCTGGTGCCATGGAGAAAATGACATTTTTTGACTTCTAGCGACCCCCCAAGAGTTCATTTCGCTGGTCTGCGACTGATTTTTGGGACACTTGCAGACTTTCAGGAATTTGGATGCCAATGGAGATAATGACATTTCTGACTTTTAGGGAACCGCCAGAGTACATTTCTTGGGTCTGCGACTGATTCTTGAGACTCGCAGCCTTTCAGGAAGTACCATTGCAGATCATGACCTTTTTTACTTTTAAGGACCCCTTAGTCATAAGCAGAGCATTTTTACCCTAAAATGTCATTATCTGCATTAGCACCAAAAATTCCTGAAAGTCTGCAAGTGCCCTATAATCAGTCGCAGACCAACGAAAAAGACTCTGGATGATCAAAAATGTCATAAAATGTAATTATCTCTATTGGCACCAACAATTCCTGAAAGTCTGTGACTGTCCAAGATTAAGTCGCAGACCAAAAAAATGGACCCTGGATGGTCCCTAGAAGTAAAAATGTCATTATCTGCCTTGACATCAAAAATTCCTGAAAGTCTGTGAGTGCCTCAGAATCAGTCGCAGACAAAAAAAAATGGATTCAGAAAGTCCCAATAAGTCAGAAATACAAAAATGTATCATTTTCTGCATTGACACCAAAATTCCTTAGGTCTGCGAGTGACTCAGAATCAATCGCAGACCAACTAAATAGACTCAGGTGGGTCCTTTTGAAGTAAAAATGTCATTATCTCCATTGGCACCGAAAATTTCTGAAAGTCTGCGAGTGTTCCAGAAACATTCGCAGACCAACGAAATGGACTCTGGATGGTCCTATAAATTCACTAATGTCATTATCTGCATTAACACCAAAAATTCCTGAAATTCTGCGATCGTCCAAGAATCAGTCGGAGACCAAAGAAATAGACACTTGAGGGTCCCGTAGAAGTCAAAAATGTCATTATCTGCATTGGCACTAAATATTTCAGAAAGTCTATGAGTGCCAAATAATCAGTTGCAGACCAACGAAATTTATACTTTATTTAAGAATGCCCTGCTAGTTTGCCTAGACAGCTCAACATTCCGGCAGAACATTTTTACACTAATTTTCAGAATGCTTTGCTGGATTGCCTAGCCAGCTGAGCATTTTTAACACTATATTTAGGAATGCCCTGCTAGATTGCTCAGCTAACTGAGCATACCGGCAGAGCATTTTTCGCACTATATTTTGGAACGCTCTGCTAGATTGCTTAGCCAGCTGAGCATGCCAGCAGAGCATTTTTACACTATATTTAGGAATGCTCTGCTGGATTGCCTAGCCAGCTGAGCATTTTTACACTATATTTAGGAATGCCATTCTAGATTGCCTAGCCAGCTGAGCAATTCAGCAGAGCATTTTTACACTATATTTTGGAATGTCCCGCTAAATTGCTAAGCCAGCTGAGCATAACAGCTAAGCAATTTTACACTATATTTAGGAATGCCTTGCTAGATTGCCTAGCTAGCTGAGCATACGAGCAGAACATGTTTACACTATATTTTGGAATGATGTCCCGCTAGATTGCTTACCAAGCTGAGCATAACAGCAGAGCATTTTTACACTATATCTTGAAATGTCCCGATAGATTGCTTAGCCTGCTGAGCATAACAGCAGAGCATTTTTACACTTTATTTTTGGAATGCCCCGCTAGCTTGCTTAGCAAGCTGAGCATAACAACAGAGCATTTTTACACTATATTTTGGAATGCCCCGCTAGATTGCTTAGCCAGCTGAGCATAACAGCAGAGCTTTTTACACTATATTTTGGAATGCCCCGCTAGATTGCTTAGCCAACGGAGTATAACAGCAGAGTTTTTAACACTATATTTAGGAATGCCCTGCTAGATTGCCTAGCCAGCTGAGCATACCAGCAGAGCATTTTTACGCTATATTTTAGAACGCCCCGCTAGATTGCCTAGCCAGCTGAGCATACCAGCAGGGCATTTTTACGCTATATTTTGGAATGCCCCGCTAGATTGCTTAGTCAGCTGAGTATAACAGCAAAGCATTTCTACACTTTATTTTGGAATGCTCTGCTAGATTGCTTACCCAGCTGAGCATAACAGCAAAGCATTTCTACACTTTATTTTGGAATGCTCTGCTAGATTGCTTACCCAGCTGAGCATAACAGCAGGTCATTGATTTCCCTATATAAATCGTAATGCCTTTTTGCTTAGCTCACTGTTAACTGCTAACTTCTCACATACCATACAACCTTACAAATATTTTTTTTTCAGAATTAAAAACGGTAAAATTATTATCAAAAATATGTCTGACAATCAATCAATTTAAAATTGCAAACAAAAGTAGAATTATAAACATATACGATTTAATGTCAAAGAAATTTTCATGATTTTGTACTTTCGGTTTCTACAACAATGATAATAAGTATAAAAATGTTTATGGTTCGAATCCCGACAGGGACTTTGGATTCTTTCATGTGAGGAAGCTATCCAGCTAGCTTACGGAACGTCGGTGGTTCTACTCAGGTGCCCGTTCGAGCCTGAAATAATGCACGGAAGGGCATCTGAGGTCTTCTACCACCAGTAAAGCTGGAACGTCGCGATATGACCTATAATGTGTTGATGTGACGTAAAACCCAAAACAAACAAAATATATCTCAAAGCTGCTGTTACTTATTCTATTGGTATAAACTTTGTCATGCATAAAAAGAAGATATTCAAGTTCTTTTCTTTAAATGCAGTATTTATTTTTATCGTGTACTAAGAAAATAAATATTTCATGAGTCTCGGTAGCCAGAGGTAAAATATGTTAGCTTTTTAATCACAAGATGGAAATAAATTCTTTATGTTAATAAAAGACTTTTGTTTATAATATACTTTTTCTCTTTTTTTACCTTAAAATTCTTAAGACTTCTCCTTTAATGTTTGTGTATTGGCAGAATTAAAAAGAAAGTAGTCCGACAAGTTACCAGTTAAAATACAGAAAATATTTTTCAATGCAGTGAAAAATACGGAAAATGAAAAATTAAAATACGTATTTTATTTCAATAATGTTTCGTAATACTTCATTTGTAAGTATATCATAAAATAGTATCTTCTTTCATTATAATTTGTGTACCCTTTTGTTTGCTTTTAATAAAAAATATCACTCTTAATAAGGATAAATTGTTGATACAATGTATTGTCACGTTTCTTTTTAATCTTTTTTTAGGTTAATAATGCATTTCATAGGCCAGGTATAATTCTTTCGGAAAAGAAAAAAAAAAACTATCTATCAATGACAATTTTCATGCATTACAGTAACGATGACTGACCATTAAATGTAGTTCATTATTGTAAAACATATTCGCGTTTATTGGCATTTTTTAGAATACGAATCAATTGTAAATCCATGCATGTGTTATTAATTGATTGGATTAAAACTGGTATGGGATTGACATACTACTTGACAACTCAGGGCAATTAATAAAGAAACTTTTAATATATAAATAAGAAATAAGATCGTTGTATTTTGTATAATTTGTTTATTTGTTTTTAAAAGTTGGTGCTAACATCCATTATGCGGCTTACATCCATATTATTTTGAACTGTCATTAATAAATAAATTTCAGAACGAACCAACAATGGAAGTTCCTGGTAAACAAAAACCAAAAAAGACATTTTCTGTTTCACGGGGCTCTGCTGAGGACTTTCTTTTGTTCTGTATCCCGTGTGATAGAGATGGTGCCCGGGTACCAGCAAAAGGTTATTGTTCAACCTGCAAAGAACATCTTTGTGACACTTGTTACAAGCATCACAAGAAACAAACTCCATCACGTCATCATATTCTATTAGATCAAGACTCTATGCCAACTACACCAAGCGTTCCAATAGTCAAAGACGAATTTGATAGTTGTGATGATCATGGAGACGAAAAACTGAAATTCTACTGCAATGATCATGACATCTTTGTTTGCAGTGTTTGTGTAACGCTGGATCACAGGTTATGTAATGTGGAATACATACCGAAACTCTCGAAGCATATTCTAGACAGTGAAGAGCTTAATGAAATAATGGCAGAAATGAAAGCACTGGAGGATAATTATTACTCACAGATAAAGAGAGTAAAAGATGAGATAAAAGCTATTTCTCAAAACCATGATGACGTAATAAAGGCGATTCGTCAATTCAGAAAAGAAATCAATATACGTCTAGAAGAAATGGAGAAACATGTTGTTAAAGAAGCAGACAACATGCTACTTAAACAACAAACGAAACTTAATAGTATATCAACAGATGTACAAGAAATCACAGATAAACTGGCTAAGAGACAAAAACGCCTTGATAATCTGATACACAGAAAATGCCTTGATAAGCTGTTTGTTGAAATGAAAGAAACAAAGAAAGGAGTTGAAGAAATGAGGATGAAGCAAAAACAATATAGTCGTGAAGAAGTTTTCCAGACTGTATCATTTGTCAAAAACAGTGATATTGTCGATATGTTAGATAGACATAAACAACTCGGAGAACTTATTACAAAGAAAGCATCCATGGGTGAAAATGTTCCAGTGATGAAACCTACATCAACACCGTCTGAGGATAAGACGCTAAATCTTGAGGTTGTTGAAGATATAGATTTGAATTCTTCATCGGGAAACACAAAATGTAACATAACCGGGATAGAAGTCATCAAGCCGGACAATATTGTTGTTTGTGATTGCAGCGGCAATAAAAATGTAAAATGCTATGATATAGTTCAGAAAAAAATTGTTTCAGAGATAAAACTAGATAATTCACCGTTTGATGTTGCAGCTATAACGGATGATAAGTTCGTCGTTACTGTACCTGGTGACAGAAGTATTCATTTCATGTCGCTGAGAAATCAACGCATAGTTTCTGATCGTAAGGTGAATATCAACGAGGAATGTTATGGAATTGCTTACAGCCAAGATAAGCTTGTTGTGTCATGTAATTATAATCCAGGGAAAGTTTTAGTTCTTGACCTACAAGGTAAAATATTGCAAAATTTTAGTGGAGATAATAGTCTGTTCTGTTTACCCTTTTATATCACCGTGAATACAGCTGGAACGTCTATATATGTTAGTGACTGTGGTTTACTGTGAAGGCTGTAAAACAACTAGACTGGCAGGGAAACATTATAAATACCTATCAACCAGCACAGGGAGGAAACTATCTACGAGGTATTTGTGAATTAAATGATGGCACATTTCTTGTTTGTTTATGTCAAGATAGTGACGACAATTTACAAAGAGTATCAGACAGCTGTAAGCCGTGTAAGATAACGATGAATAAGAAGCTTGGTAGTTGGTTCCCGGGAGCTGTCGCATACTGTCAGAAATCGAGAAGACTTTATGTGTCTTATTCTGAAATAGGGAGTCATAGACCAAAACATCGGATAAAAATCTTTAAGGTTGACTGGTGTTAAGTTACATCATGATGAAAAGTATACATTTAGTTTGAACTTTTACACGTTTCAATGTAACAGAATGTTTTTATAGAGTTATTGTTCAAAATGATATTTATATGATATTTATGTGATTATGTCTTTTGAAATCAAAATGGTGGGCTCGAAAATATTCTGTCAATATTTTTACTTAATTATGTTTATTTATTTTAGGAATGATTTCAGTACATACTAAATCTTTAGACGGTTTGTAAATTATGTTTGCCAATCGAATAGAAATTTTACTTATGGCACGTCCATTTAGTGATTGATTTAAATTCCGGAAGAGTTATGTTGAATATAATAAATAATTTCCCACTTCATTTTCTTTCCTTCGTTTTTACTTTACTGTGCTAGTATATATACCCTTATACCTTTAAAACGCTTATTTAAATGTGCCGTAGCTTTCGGCCTTTTGGCCTTCTTCAGCAGCATTTATTATATTAGTAATAAAGATTTTTGACAGGTTATATGGTCCTATTTAAACGGTTGTTTGTAAATATAACCCGAGTCGCTAGGCGAGGGTTATATCGAAAACAACCGTTTATATACGGCCATATAACCTGTCAGAAATGTTTATAACGAATTTATAATAAAGCAAGCATCATTTTTAGAGGAATATAGCGATATTTTTTTATAAATCGACAGCAGCCGTGTATATAAAACTTTATAATACTGCACGTTTGTAACGTCATTTTTCATTGGATAATCGTGACGTTTATATTATTAGTTATAAAGATCGTTGACAGGTTATATGGCCCTATATAAACGGCTATTTGTAAATATAACCCGAGCCGCCAGGGGAGGGTTACATTGGAAAAGCGACGTTACAAACGTAACGTCATTGTGCGACGTGAACGTTTAATGACTCACGTGGCCTAAAATTAAATACGGAATATGTTGTAGTTGCTTTCTGATGCTTTGATTTTAGCTACGAGCAGCGGTGGAAAATTGATATCTAAAAAAATCAATCTTATGAAAATATATAGACAAGTCAGCTGAACTTGAAAAAAATGAGCATACTATCATTTCAAGAAATAGAGGATATTGAATGAGTGTAAGTTCAATACTGAATTTATTGAACGAGTTGAATAAATTTATATTATGCGAGCCTGTGGCGAGCATGATATTATTTTATTCAACGAGTTCAATAAATCCAGTAATGAACTTACACGAATTTAATATACTATTTGTCACATACCAAAAATAAAGACTGCAAAAAGTGAAAAAAGCGTCATTTTTCATTGACGCGCCTATGGTATAACGCTAACATTTAGCGCGTCGTTACGCTATGTTTGTGTCGCGTTAAAATAAATGCACTGTTGTGCACGGTCGTGCAATACCATATTTACGGAGTCGCAAAATCGGCACTGGTGTGTGATAAAATCAAATTTGAGACAAATGTACTAGATATTATATAAAAGTAAAATGATTCATGATAACATGTCGTGTGCGATCTTTTTTTTAAATATGCATGAATATGCATGAATTGAAAGTGCGATTGCAATTCTTTGTTCATTTCGTAATATTTTAGTTTTAAATACATTTAGTCAAAACTAAAAGACAAAATATGAAAAATATGAAAAGAGAACCGGTGAATATAATGAAGTCGTGAAGTTAGCCTGATAGCCGGAGCAGCCGGAACACTTTTTGCCTTGTCCTGTTGTTATGGTTGTTCCGGCTAGGCTGGAATTAGCTTCCAGGCTAGCCAGATGTAATACAGTTAAACCTGTACAAAAGACCATTGGTTTATCTTTTTATATAATTTAATATTAATTCAACAGACTATCTCCGGCTATTTTGTTTGATCAGATTTTACTGTATTATATTTTGATAGCCGGCTCAGCCGGAGCAAACAGAACAACCGTACTAGGCAAACAGAACAACCGTACTAGGCAAAAATGTGTTCCGACTGTTCTAGCTGTCTGACTAACATCCCGAACATTACTGTCCTAAGCCTTTGTTTACATAACAAAGACCAATAACAATGCGAAAAGTAGGTTAGGCAGATCAATGCCACAACCTATAAAAATGAAAATAAAACTGCATATTATCATATGACTTGTTAGCGCAGTAGGTAGAGCAACCGTGTCAGTGATGTGTTTTAGCCGTACAGGCAGAAGTTCGACTACTGGTAAGACACATTTTTTTTGCCTCAGAACAGCCAATTGTTCAGAAAACAAGTTTGACCGTTTTATTCATATACATACATGAATATGATATCGAATATTTTATAACACTGCGATCAAAAAAATACAAAAAGAAAAAAGAATGGAAATAAAATAAATAAATATATACTATAAAATATATATTATAAGAAGAAAACAAAAAGGAAAACGAAAAATAAATAAATAATAATGATAAAAAAACAGAGTTAGAAGAAAAAACTGTGGTAATTATTAAATGACACTAAGTTGGGTTCGAACCTATGAGTACAAAACACTAAAAGTTACAATTACTCCGACCTACCGACAGAGCCGATAACGGTAATACACAAACGAGTCTGTAAGAATAATGCTATATAGTATATGTAATATCGGATAATAATCCAGATAACCCCGTTTTTCGACTTTCCCATGTACCGTTAAGACCAAATTATCATCTTAGGACAGTACTTTAATCAGGTATATTTATTTATCTGTAGAGCAAGGTCTTAATTGTCGATAATTCCTTAGGGGATATTTAAGAAAGAGAATATAACATAAGACAATCGGAAATCAATTAAGCTACCCGAAATCTCGCCATTGATCGACTAAAACTTGGTCCACTTACTAATTAACTTTCCGACGACATGAAATATTAATGAGGTTACCTTTGATTACATTTGCGCATAAAATTTCGGATAAAAGAAAATCTATTCTTTAGTAGTGATAAAATAACCGTGGAAACATGACTTAATCTGTGATTTATTACCATACCGTTATCTTCTTCTATTTACTTTTTTTCACATTAGTTAGTTACAATTCGGATTTCACTTAAGACATATTGAAAATGAAAACCGTTGTTAGTATTTTGAATATTTTTTCATGTATGACTCTTGTGTGTTTGACAAGCGCTAGCACGGATCTTCAGATTTACGAATTTACGCGTAACGTTACTCTGTCGTTTCCTGGGCAACGTTTAGTTGGACATGTTTTTGACGAATTTTCAACAAAAAAGCAGGTGATTCATTGTGCATATGAGTGCTTAAAGTCAACTCGCTGTAAGTCGTTCAACTACGAGCATGATCTCCTCGTGTGCCAGCTAAACGATGGTGATCATTTTGAATTCAGCCAGAGTTTGGTGCCGGAGGGAAATAGTACGGGAATCGGGTATCACCATCGTGATGCTTTTTCTATAGAAAAGGTAAACTTTTATCATAAAATATTCATAGTTTAATTGTTTGAATGCATTTTATCATCCATACAAAATTCGATGAATTAAAGGATATTTGTTTGCTTTGCATGTAAGATCGAAATATATTTCACTTAGCGACACCAGATGCAATATTTTCACAGATTGCGTAGCAAAGAGTGAAAATATAAAAGCTGTGTTCACGAGTGAAATATATTACATGCAATACAAACAATTTTCTATTTATTTCATTTTTAGTGATTTTAAGTCAATTTTACTTGTTTTGTCGCGTTCACAACGTTATGCGTTCTTCTTCATGACGCCATCACATCATGACGTCACCATACCAATGTTGAAATTTAGTTCTGTAAAATTTCTCGAATTTTGTTACATTTTTAACACAATGTATGCAGTTATTTACTTGCTTTTCGTAAAAACGCAACATTGACATACGACATAATTTATTCCTGTTGATAATTCCATTTAGAAATGAACTATTTTTTTCATCCGCATTTAAATATAGTTCGGCTTAGAGGATATTTGTTTGGTTTGCATGTAAGATTGAAATATATTTCACCGAGTGAACACCAGATGCAATATTTTCCTTAGTGGGGTAGCTGGTATATAAAACATGTAATAAGTTTAGTTTAGTTATTTATTAAGATTATTTCTCATGCTCAATATTACTCTAAAAGTAGTAACTTTTTTGTATAAAGCAGTGCGCTAAACACAATTAAAACAAAGACGCTTGGAAGTCTGAAAGGTATTTTGTGAACATTGTTTGACGGATGTCCCATTCGTGTTTAAATGTAAAAATATTTTTAATAGAGTATGTACAGGGATGTATCACGTTGGGCAGGGGGGAGGGGGAGGATCTGACCCCCAAGCGTCGGTGATTAAAATTACTTGGGTATATTATATCCTCATCGATACTTCTCATGTTTGTTTATGTGCGCTTTACTCTCTTAAATCTGAATTGATATATCATGTCTCCCGTATTTTTAATTCATTTTTACAGTACAATTCTTCTAAATTAAAATTGACAAAAGTTATTGCACTTGTTAAATATGATAATGTCATATTCTAAGACGCTTTACAATATTCCCCTATCAAACAGAACAATACATGATATATGCACAGCATAAAAAAGAACACGTTACAAGTTCTAAGCTTTATTTTTGTCGTCCCAAGTTATTCAAATCTTCTGCCGATGCCACATGCCTCTCAACGACGTGCAAGTACCGTGGGTGCAAAGATATCAATGTTAGTAACACATAAGTTTAATATCTTTTACAGGAAGCACTTGGCCCATGCGCAACGGACCCGTGTGAAAATGGCGGCCGTTGCTTAGATACGGTAAACTCGAAAATGGAACGCACATATTATTGTATATGTACGGAGGAGTGGATGGGACAAGATTGTGAGACGCCAAGTAGGTTAAATATATCCTTTTACAATCTGTTATACATGTGTATTTTTATTCTTTGTCAGAAATTTATAGGGCCTCCTGAGTGAAATGTTCAAATTTTCCCAATAGACAGTGTGATGATTTTATATATTTTTGAGCGTTGAAAGGTCCATCTTAATCCATGCCACCGAGTGAACGATATTTTGTTATTATTTTGAAATTTGGTTAAAATTTTTAGATATTGTAGAAATTAACATAGAATAAGCGGATAATGAAATAGTAAAAAATGCAGTTAAGTTAATAATTCGTGTATACTAATAAATATTTGAATCCAAGTCTAGAATATTTCATGTTTAATCAGTGAATAGTATCGAATGGGGCGATTGGGAAGACTGGGGTCCGTGCTCTGTCACGTGCGAGACTGGATGGACAACCCGTCGCCGACGTTGCATGGACGTTGAAACCGGCGAAACAAAATCGTCGTCACATTGCTATGGTCGGGATGTAGAATATCAGTCATGTACACTGCAATCTTGTCCACGTAAGTTATTAATTTATATTAAAGTGTATAAAAAGGTAAAGGTAAAGGTCTTGTTTATTATAGTGTCACCCCTACTGAAAGGGCCAGCCATTTTGACTTATGAGACACCTTTTGGTTGCATACCATGTACCTCCCAATTCCTACCACTATGCCAGGCGCCAGGCGGATAGAAATCGGTAACCATTCATTTTAACTACCTCGCGGCTCACGAAGCGGCCATTTCGGAACGAGTCCCACGAGAAACATTCATCCTTCAATTAACGCTCCCCGTGGGGCTCGAACCTTCGACCTCCCGATCCGAAGGCGGACGCCTTAACCACTAGGCCAACGGTACCGGTTATATATAGAAGATATTTGTTTAGTTTAGTGTAAGATCGGAATATATTTCACATAGTGAGCACCAAAAGGTATATTTCACAAGTGGCACAGCCACGAGTGATAAATGAACTTTGTGTGTTCATGAGGTGAAATATATTTCGATCTTACACCAAACTAAACAATGTTTTATTATATGCAAAGAAACGTTTAAAAAGGCATTTTAACCTAATACTTAATGAAAATTGTGCCAAAAAATAACACAGAGTGGCGTCATTTACGACGTCACGTCATTAAGTTGGTTTTCCAGTACTAACGATATGCACGCTGGTATTTCACTGAAACAACGTAACGGGCTTAAATTCAAAACAGTAAAAATATCAAATTGATAATTTCACTGTTTCAAACAATGAAATAACAGTTTATATTTCACATATATATTTGTATAAACCACTGAAAAGCATGTAAGAAATAGAGGATATTCAAGTTTTTTCTATAAATACATGATTTATTTTCATCGAGTGGTATGAAAATAAATATTTCATGAGTGGCGATAGCCACGAATGAAATATGGTAATTTTCATGCCACAAGATGAAAATAAATCATGTATTTATAGAAAAAACTTGAATTTTCTGTTTATTATATACATTTTTCTCTTTCTGGACATTAAAATTTGCAAGATTTCTCTTAAATTTTGAGTACTGGCAGAATTTAAAAGAAAGTAGTCCGGCAAGACACCAGTGAAAATACGGAAAATATGTTTCACTGCAGTGAAAAATAAATTTTTACAGTGAAAATACGGAAAATGAAAATACGCATTTTATTTCATCAATAATTCTCAATATTTCATTTCAAAGTATATAATAAAAAGCTATATCTTAATTTTTATCTATATTTCTATAAGATTATTCAACAGTAAAATTATATTGTTTCAATAACCTTATGATCGATTCTCGGAAGAGTTGTAACATAAATTTTTTCTGTTATTTAACACATATGAATATTATACTCAAGCATAATAAAATGTTTCTTCATCTATTTTAAGAAGTGTTTATCTGTTTAAGCCATGGTTCATACATTCGTCATATTCGCTATGAAGTTAATTCACTACAATATTTCTTTCGTACAAACATTTTGGAAGTATTCTCTTTAATAACTCAAACTTAACTTTATGCAGTAAATATATAGCTTTATGCACTTAAACATCATGTTTTTGTGATTCAAATGAGTTTTCTTAGTTGATTTTGAGTGTTTTAAGTTGATTTCCGCTGAATGTCACACATCATCAAAGCAACAAAACCCGCATTTGCCTATGGTGAACGTTGCTGTGCACATCAAATAAATTACGAACATAATCATTCGACTATTTGAAATTGCTTCAGCACACTAACAAACAAACAAACAAACAAAATAAAACAAGACACTTCATATGAAATACTACAATCCGCATTTTTAATCGTAGGCTGGCTTGGTTGGTCTGAATGGGGTCCGTGCAGCACAGCCAACACGTGCGGTCAAGGCACTATGCAGAGGTACCGGAACTGTTCGAACGGGGGCGTCCCTGGTAGAGACAGATTCTGCCTTGGCTTCACAACAGAAACAGCTCCGTGTAAAGGAATCAACTGCAGAGGTCAGTTTATCAAAGTGTTTTCCTAAAATGTTGTTGTCATAAATGTAATAGACAAACATTAACATGTTTTACTACAGCGTTATACCTTTACGTTTGTAATGGTCATTCATTAACACTGATTTAAAATAACAACGGTAACAAGTTGGTCCAAAAAAGACGTTCGGAATAAACTTCTTCTTGTTATAAGCATGACTTTTTTCTTGTTTCAAAAGATAAGAGCATAAAAATGCTATATTTAATCATACATTATTTTGTATATCATGGAAATACAACCAAATGCTGTAAAATATGTAATTATTGCATTCATTCACAGATATATAATGTTACGTAAAATACCATATACAATTCCCTCTAAAATTATTTTCATGGAATCGTCTAATTTCTGCCGTAAGATTAGAATTTACTAATAAAGTTTGGAACCAAATATTTTCCTCTTATGTTAAAGGAATGTTGACGATCAACAACACACTGAAGCACGGTGATGGCCGGATACAAATCTCAAATGACCTTGACGCCTATGGAATGTCAATTTGCGCAGACGATAACTGGAACTTTACCGAAATTGATGTCGCATGTAAACAGATAGGGTTCCAAGGGGCGTATAAAGGTAATTCCAGTTGTCATTTTTGTGATTCCATTGTCAAATAAAAGCAATAAGTTAAAGCTATAAATATTTCACTTTTTATCTGTATGCACTTTGTTAAGCTAATTCTATAATACATTTTTAAGTTACGCTGATTTCCCTTTTGAATACATATTATAATTTGAATGCATTACAACTTAAGCTGTGTCCTTTGTTTGAATTGAGGCTAGTTCTTACTTAATACTTATAAAGCAAAATTTTCTCTTACGTCATTCAATCAGAAACTAATTAAAGAATTAATAGAACTGCAAATTTTATTTCATACACAATGTAATAAGTAGCCATTTACATCTATAACTTTTGAAATATTGTTTGATTTGCAATATAATGAAGTATTCTAACTCCGGTAGGATGAAGATTGAATGTTTTTTTTAATTATCCGGGGGGTCTTCTTTCTGACTTACACGTATACAACGTCTGATGAAAGAACGTGGCCGTTATTCTAGAAGCGTTTAAACTCTTTATCCCTTGACTGAGCGACAGTTAGATTAGCCACTAGGCCTCTCCTCCATTTAAAATGGAATAATTTATTTCTAATACAGATGCTGTAAACAACAATTACGACATCTCATCGTCAACTTACGGCAGTCCTATTTATAAACTTCACTGTGAGGGCGGAGAGAAAACCATTCAACAGTGCCCTCGTGAGCACGTGCTTCAATGTAGCAGACTTGCTGGTATTCAATGTAGAGGTAGGTTGTGTTAAAGAGGATGTTTTAAGATTTTATACAAGTATGCTTATTTCATAAACTTAAAAAAATCCTTTATACCTTTGAGAACTTTCATTCGAGCCGCAGCTAACAAAACATGTATGTTTTCGGAGTTATATGCATATTTTCATAGATTTGTTTATCATTATATGAATTTTAAAGGGACTCCACTGAGATTTAAGACATAATTCTAATTGTGAAGAATGACCAAAAATTGAAAAGCGTTGCAACGCTTTTCACTCAAACCGACCTAAGAATAGCACAGAAGTATGATTTTCAATTCATTTCTGAATATATTTCTTAATTATGTTTGTATATCGTTCTGTTTTAAGTGTCCCAGCTGGTCTATGTAAGAAATTCAAATTTTTATGTTTTTAGACATTTGAACCTCAGTGGAGTTTCCTTTAATGAAAATGCGCATACATTCCCATTTACCTGTGATTGATAAGAAGGCTGTTTAATTTGTCAATCCAGGGATGGTTTTATATGGGGAACAATTTTCCAAAAAACAACTTTTTAAGCCGACATATTCATGTACAACGTATTTCTAAAAATCCCAAATGAATAAGAAATAGAATACTGAATCTGTACAAGATATTCTATAAACAACTATCCTTTGTATTATAATGCAACTTATGTACATGTTTTTAGTCAAAAAGGCCAGAGAGCTTTACCTGTGAAAATAAAACATCTGTATACGCCAAGTATTAATTAGAAATGAATAATTAATGACCAAGCTAAGATATTAGAATTCCCCCATGTTTTATTTGTGTTTATATTGACTTTATCCGTTAATTTAGACCTCCTTATTGCTACCAATGAATTACAGATTTGATCTGTTTTAAGATGTTCTGCGCGTTCTTTTAGCCCATAACATGCTTAATTTGTAATGGACTCGTCATGTTTTGAATGTGGACCGGTCCATTAAAAGTTTAAGGGCTTCTGTATTAAAATGGGGTAGGTGGAGGGTCGCAATATCGCAGTACAATTATTTGGACTAGCTAGGCACATTGCAACCACCTATGGTTCCAACAGGTTAATGGTAAAATTTATATGTTAAAACTGCCTTACAGAATAAATATCACATCATTAAAATATTTTCCTGAATTATATAACCGAAATGAAAAGTACGAAAGTATCAACTAATTTTCTTTGAGATTATATAACATATATTTGCATAAAACCCTTCTCTCATAACTTATACAAAGGTAAATAAAATAAGATATGTGCATGTATAATATAATTTAAATATGTACATGTATAAAATATAATTTTAAAATGCACATGTATCTTAATTTTGAATGCGGCCTTCTAAACAATATATAGAAACACAAACAAAAAACATCATAAAACAATAACAACTATTCCATTAAGATTTTGTCCTATAACTTTTTTTGACAAACATTCCTTTTATATATTAAATACCATTTATACAATATTCATCAATTTTCACAATTAATAGCGATTCACTTACCTCACAGTGCTGTGTCTTCTAATTCTGCCAGGGATTAAATATTATTTTCATGTGAGGAAGTTATCCAGCTTGGTGTGGATGGTCAGTGGCCCAACAAGTGAAGCTGCAAACTCATATACGTGAAGAAACGACCGAAAAAGTGTAATTAAGCTGTTTCTTATGTTAAGTACTGATTATCATTCACCAGAAAAAAATATATGAATATAAACATATATGTAGTTTCAAGGTCAATGATTTTTTTTTATAGTTCGAGGGGGCTGGAGTTTATGGAGCGGATGGGGCGAGTGTTCTGTCACGTGTGAAAATGGAACGCGTACACGGACACGTGATTGTAATCACCCGCCACCAAATTACGGCGGAACAGAATGCCCAGGCGAAGATACCGAGTTTAAGCCTTGTACCAAAGTCATGTGTCCAAGTAAGTTGCATTTACATTTAATTTTGAATTTCAAAAATTTAGAAATCGCCATCTTCGTGTCAGTACAGTTATTAATTCAAATCTGAATAAATTATGTTAATGATACTATTGTAAGCAGAAGGTGTCTCATAAATTCATTTATGCGTGATGGATCCCTCAAAGGGAATAAGAAAGTTAAAAGTGCCTTTGTTAATTTCGCTGTATTAAATATCCGGCTCTAGCCTTACTTATTTGCTGAATATTGTTAATAATTAAGTAATTCTATGTTACCATGCAAATATATACGTATTTTTACCCAAGTAAATAATTACATAAACCATATGTTACTGGAACTATTTTTATATGAATTATTTTATACGGACTACTTTATATGAACTATTTTATATTACACAGCTTCGAGCTCTATGCGTTGACATTTTGTTCACGGGGTTTTCGTGTACATCATCCCTTCAACTCGTTTTGTTCAACACAACAATTTGTTTTGCTATTCTAACATTCGCATGAAAGACAGTGCACGGTTTACAGACCTTTTCAACTACACGCATGTGCACGTTACCTACCTAATTACTAACATGCATTCAAGCCTATGTATTTTTTATTTGTTTCTATCTAACGTTTCTGTGTTTTAATGCCAGATTTTCTTCATATTCACCAGTATTGTCAAACCAACAAAACCACGTGATTTATCAACCTATTTTTTAATTATCTTTTGAATTTTTTTGTTCGAGTCATGTATAACATCATTGGTCCTACTTTGGAAAGATGCACATAATGTCTGCAGAATGACGTCATAAAGGCGTTTTAATTTTTTAGTGAGACTAAAATAAGGTGTTTGAGCACCACACTAAATTCCGATTACGGTACATACCGGACAAGGCTCTTGAATGATAAAATGTTAAATTCGACTAATCACCCGCCGAAATTCTCAGTTTGGTATAAAACTGGTTATAATGTTTATCTAATTTGTCGGACAAAATATTTCTGAGAAAAAAAAAAGAAAAGAAAAAGGAAATTGAATTTTTGATTCTAGTTGGGCCTCCTTGTTAGAAATGCTTTATTTGTACTTTTTCAAATTAACATTGATATCACATCATAATTAATGCATGTGTTTCTTATCTTTCATCCTTATTTTTTAATAAAAAACAATTATTTCTTGTTGTTAAGACTGGTTCCCGTCCCTGATTGATAGACTATCACTGGGTACCAGCTTTTACGTGGTATAGTTTATTATTTCACACTGTTATGTCACTGGTTTTATATAATAATAAAATATCAATTAACTGAGCACTTTGTTGTCGCATGTCACGTGATCACATCAAATGAATATTCAAATTCTTTATTCAAATGCTTATATTTATTTTTGAATATATTTTTGGATATTCATGGATATACACAAATGACACTTGAGTACTTATCATTAGTAACAACGTTCAAACTTGGTTTGACTGGTAAAAAATAACGAAAAAGGTAACGAAATTTATTAATATATTAAACCATCCTTCATGAATGAAAATAGAGAATAACTAAATATTCTTATTGTATATTTGCACGTGTGAATGCTTTTGCTTGATAAAACTTAAAGGGATTTATGGACAAAATAGAGTTTTTAAATATGGAAATGTTTTTGTTGTATTAGGCACCGTCACTGACAAAATTTTGTGATAGCTAGGTTTGCTTTGACTGCGGAATGCGTTCGTAGAGACCATAAAATACTTTTCTCTATTGAAGGATGGTTTCAATATATTGCTATATTTCGTTGCTAGGAAACGGCACATGGGGAGAATGGGGAGAGTGGAGCGGATGTGACGTCACTTGCGGTGAAGGGGAACGTTTACGATATCGTCCATGTGCTGATACGGTGCCATGTGTTGGTACCAACGTCTCACATGACATTTGTGTGGTGCCAATAGATTGTCCTGGTACAAAATTGTATTGTTATATGTGCCATGCTATAGAACTATGCACCCTTGTTTGCCTGAATGCACGGGCGATCAGATATGTTTCGTGTAGAATGCACCTTAGGTTTCTATGGAAACAATTTTTACATAGAAGTGGCGTTTTGTGAACTTGTAAATGATCACAATTTGTATTGTGAAATATTTGCATAAGAAAAAGCAATGTGTTTGTCCTATTCTAGATATATGTTTAAAATCAAGCACGTATTTTATAAATGTGTCACACAGTTAATTAGATTTGTTGTTTCACCATTACGCATAGAGCTAGTTGATAAATAAATGTGTAGCATTTGACAGACCAGATGGGTAGTAAAGTTCTAGTTGCACAAAAAATGCGGACAAGAGAACTAAATTTTGAAATATAGTCGCGTCATACCAAGGATTCCGGGCACTTGGTTTCAAATGTTTCTGGTAATGATTGGTTATAGTCGATGGAGTTTGGGCCACGTGGTCACCATGGAGCGAATGTGACGTCACTTGTGAAAATGGTACCCGGTTTAGAACACGGAATTTCACTGGCCCATTTTACAACGGCGCTGAATGTCCAGGAGAAAGCAAAGATGTAGAGGCTTGCTTCCCAAAAATGTGCCCAGGTATGTAGTGACTAAGTAAAAAACACCTATTTCATTTAAATTTTGAAATATTAATTTTATAACAAATGTTATTTGTGTGTTTGATTTATTTTACAGATCTTTATATGTAAAGTTATTGTTCTTTCATAAAAACTTCAAGATATACTCTGCTCATCTTTATGTAAAACACTTTGATTGCAGAAATTTATTAAAATAAAGGGAATTGTTACTGAATATGTCTAATTTGAGTAAGAGAATGCAAAGCTATGTTTGGAAAGATGCGTTTCCTATAACTGATTAATCTATATGAGTCTTGTCTTAAAAATCAACAAAAAACCTGCCAGTTCTTTTAATGACACTGTATTCATACTGTGTTTACCTTTAATGTGTATACTATAGTGCTTAAGACTTAACATATGTGTGTGTACTCAAAAAATGTTTATTTTACATTTAAGAAGCAACCACATTTAAAAAGAAACTATAAGAAAATATCAGTATTTTCAGATATTAAATGTTAGCATAATATATATTCAGTCTATATTTGAGCCGCGTCACGAAAAAACCAACATAATGGGTTTGTGACCAGCATGGATCCAGACCAGCCTGCGCATCCGCGCAGTCTGATCAGGATCAATGCTGTTCACTATCAGTTTCTGTACTTGTAATAGGGTTGGTAAGCGCACAGCATGGATCCTGATCAGACAGCGCGGATGCGCAGGCTGGTCCGGATCCATGCTGGTCACAAACCCATTATGTTGGTTTTATCCACGCTACAAATGCTAGAATTACGCCACATAGATATTCGTTTTTTCCTATTATCATTTTTTATAATTAAACCCTATAGGAAATATTCGTATTTATTAATCCGATATCTATTGTGTCGTTTTTATATTTTGATGCTTTGTTTGGTGCACTTGTCTCTTTTATCATGAATTGGAATTGTTCGTATTTGTTCGTTTTTCCGCTAAAGTGGGCGTGACGTTAATTGTAAAATTACGACGTCACGTCCGTTGATATTATTATTATTTATTTACCTTGAAAAAGGCATACATTTGCCGAAACGTTGGAAAAATAAAAAATGATATTATACGTGTTATTGCTGTGACTTTATTATTTTAATGTATAATGTGCCTTATTCAACTTATGGTTCAGTCTGGGACATTACGTCCCAAGTTTTAGTGACTACATGGCACAGATATAAAATGCCCCGGGGTGCTCGGGTATAGAAACCAACCTTGCCGATACACTATCTCAAATTTCAACATAATCTTAAAATATCAAAAATATTTAGTAGTATGATTTGATTACTATTTCAATGATAAAATATTCGTTTAGTCTAAGAAATTTATTTTAATTGATCATGTTTAACAGAGAGCTAGATATTTAATTTGTGAAAAATTAGATGAGAAACTGTTGATTAATTTTGACGACCCCCACAAAGTAATGTTTGGGTAGGGAGATGATTTTCAGTTTCATCTGCCTGTTTGTATGCTTTTAGAACTGTTTGTCACAAATCGTGCCGAATCCATTAGATAGCCGTTTCTGTAATTCAATATAATGGTGAATATTTGGAATTTTATAAGGCCGCCAAGTTAAAACTTTTTACAATAATCTAAATTTCGATTTCCTCCGCAGTGAATGGAATTTGGAACGAATGGGTTGCATGGACAGAATGCTCACATACATGTGGCTATGGCAACAGAAACAGATCTAGAACCTGTCACGGTCCGTTCCATGCCGGGTTAGACTGTCAAGGTAGTGCAGACGAAAGAGAGGCGTGTAACGCCTTTTCCTGTCCAGGTAACAAACTAAATCTCTACGAACATCTCGTCGAAAATATAGAAATGAATGTGAAAATGTTTATATTTCGTATTTTAAATTAAATGTATGGTCAAACAGTAACTGTGTAGTAATACTAGTAGAAGTAGTAGTAGTAATGATAATAATGATAATGATGAAGAAGAAGATGATGATGATGATGATGATAAGGGATACGGACAAAAAGCTCCCCCGGACGAAAGCCCCCCCCCCGTCTAAAAATGACAAGGTGGACAAAAGCCCCCCCCCCCATGAAAATTACACATAAGACAAAAAGCCCCCCCCCCCATAAAAAAGTAAAGGTAGGACAAAAGCCCCCCCCCCCCATAGTCAATCAAATTTACATATAGTGTATTAAAGTTGTGTTTTTGATGTGTTTTAAAGATATGTAAGGACATCACATGAAGGTGACAAAGTGCTAAGGATATTAATTTGATCCCTTTGCACAGGGGAGGAAGTGTTACACGAAGGATGGAGTTCTTATGATAACTTGTTTGGAGTTCTTATGATAACTGTCACGGAGTTCCAGGAAAACGTTACGGATTTCTGTGGAAAACTTTTCTATATACCTGGAGAACTCGCATAAATAATGGTTATTTTTAACTTTAAATGGGGAGTTTGAGGTGCTAAATTTAACTTTGATAATTAAGCTTGCCCTACATGTTGTATTTTGTTTCAGAAAAAATATTTTAGTCCATATTTCGTCGCCTTTTTAAAATAAATCTGGTAGTTTTGAGAAAAATTACCAAATTACTTGCTAATTCGTACATATTGACCTTTTCATTTGTGATCATCTTCGTTGCTATACATAATCACCTAATTATTATGGAGAGTTGCAAACATAAAGCCAAGGCTAATAAATGTATACCCGATTTTTCAAATGATACGGAGTTCTTGCGATAACTCAAAATATGTCCTGGAGTTCTTATGATAACTTTTGTTACTGCCAGTATGTTTTTGTGCTTAATCACGGCACGTTTAAGCGTATTTTATTAGTCAATAAGTGTGTAAATCATTATGAAGCATAGTACGCTTATCATTTGCACAAAAATTTGGTTATATAACGTTGGTTTTGATCGTGTTTTTCAGTTCAATAGATATTTTTCTTACCTCCGTTTCTTGTGTTTTTTTTTGTGTTTTTTGTTTGTGTGTGTGTGTGTGTGTGTGTGTGTGTGTTTTTTTTTTATTTTATTGGAATGACTGTAAACATACTTGATGTAGAGCATTTACTTACAGGATAAAAAGACGCTTTGAATTTAATACTCAAGCATGATTTCGTCATATACTAGTATGCATTATTCCTGGCAGTTTTAGAGAACATTTAGAACAATTTCTAAAAGGTATCAGTTTTTTGTCATAGAAACGTATGAAGTTCTATGACAATGATATGAAGATAGAAAGTAAGTCTTCAATAAGATATGTGAGTCACCGTAAGGTTCATGCCGTTTATCGACCCTGTTCCTTTCTGTATTAAATCCAATGTTGCATCACGTGACGTACAGCAATCTCCATATTTCGGAAAATTACTGTATACATTTTTCTTATCAAAGTTGGAGTCCTAGTTGTGGAAATTTTGCAACAACTTTTGCTGAACTGATTTACAAAAATATATTGTCGAACTTCTTTCGCTCGAACCCGTAGGGCACGTGCAAATCTGTCGAAGAGATCGGTAGTAATCGGTTGATTTTTTATGCATAAAAAGATCATACATTTCGGGTGCATGGGTGTGAAGGGTATCCCGGTTACATACGATACATGGTATATTATGATACAATTTACTTAGCCGCTTTTGAGCCCAACTACTGATTGTCTGCTTTAGAAAGGCGGTTGCTTAAAACATGTAACTGAGAAAAATGGTAAGTTTTAAACAATTTTTCCTTAGCGGTTTAAGCCATGTTACTGCTGAATACAGGTGACCGCTGATTCAGGTTTTCCTGAAGATTTTTGTTTGTTTGTTTCATTTTACTCCTTTTCCCAACAGTATTTCAGTCATATGGGCTGGTAGTTTCCTAACCATCGTTCCTGGAGAGTTACACCAGTACTAGACTACCTTCCTCCGTGCTAAACTACCAAAGCATCTCCCGGGGATCGAACCCACGTCAGAGAGGTAACTGGATTAGAAGTCATCGATTCAAACCCCTCGACCACGGAGGCGGTCGTTCCTGAAGATAGCTTAGCACCTGTTTATCCTATATAGACTGTACACCAAAGCAGTTTCATGTCTTCTTCAGATATATTGAATGATCGTGTTTTAATTTTGCCACATGGCCTCAATGTTGCATTTGCGGAAACTTATGACATAAAACTTTTGTTGACGAACAGTATACACAGAAACATTTAGTGCATTCGTTGGGTTTTATAATGTCAATATGATTTCGCACAAATTTAATTAGGAACTAAAACACGATCAAAACCAACGTTATATAACCAAATTTTTGTGCAAATGATAAGCGTACTATGCTTCATAATGATTTATACACTTATTGACTAATAAAATACGCTTAAATGTGCCGTAATTAAGCACAAGAAACACACTGGCAGTAACAAAAGTTATCATAAGAACTCCAGGACATATTTTGAGTTATCACAAGAACTCCGTAACATTTGAAAAATCGGGTATACATTTATTAGCCCGGGCTTTATGTTTGCAACTCTCCATAATAATTAGGTGATTATGTATAGCAACGAAGAAGATCACAAATGAAAAGGTCAATATGTACAAATTAGCAAATAATTTCGAAATTTTTCTCAAAACTACCAGATTTTTTTTTAAACGGCGACGAAATATGGACTAAAAGATTTTTTCTGAAACATAATTCAATATGTAGGGCAAGCTTAATTATCAAAGTTTAATTTAGCACCTCAAACTCCCCATTTAAAGTTAAAAATAACCATTATTTACGCGAGTTCTCCAAGTATATAGAAAAGTTTTCCACACAAATCCGTAACGTTTTCCAGGAACTCCGTGACAGTTATCATAAGAACTCCAAACAAGTTATCATAAGAACTCCATCCTTCGTGTAACACTTCCTCCCCCGTGCTTTGCAAAAGTGATTAAACATTACTACTCTTCTGACCCTTGTTGTGTATATGAAAATCTATGAATTCGGTATCGCATGCATGCATTATTTAATCTGTTATCATAAACTTTGTTATCACTCCAAATATACATTATAAATAAACATTAAAACAAATTTTTTCATTTTAATTTAAAAGTTTGTGTGAAATTTGATGAATTTGAGCACCTGTGCGTCTGAAAAAAGATGGGGGGCTTTTGTCCTACCTGTATTTTTGATTGGGGGGCTTTTGTCCTATGTGAAAATTTCATGGGGGGGCTTTTGTCCACCATGTCATTTTTAGAAGGGGGGGCTTTCGTCCAGGGGGGCTTTTGTCCTACACTCAAACTTTTGATGATGATGATGATGATAAAAATAATAATAATAATATATAATAATCATAATAATAATAATAATAATAATAATAATGATGATGATGATGATGATGATGATGATGATGATAATAATAATAATAATAATGATGATAATAATAATAATAATAATAATAATAATAATAATAATAATAATAATAATGATAATAATAATAATGATAATTTTCAATTTAACATCATTTATGTAAATCACTCAGTGGATGGTGATTGGAAGATGTGGACTAACTGGGGAAATTGCAGCGAACCGTGCGGCGGTGGTCTGCGTAACCGGACGCGAGAGTGTGTCGAACCAGAGTTTGGAGGAGCTATGTGTGTCGGTCCAGCCGAGCAAGCCGAGGCATGCAACCAGCACGAATGCCCAAGTATGTTACTTTCCAAATTTGACTTAAAATATATAAAACAGGACAACTATATTAATAGAGAATATAGAAAATCAGTTTAAAAGCTAACAGCTCGAAATATGTATTGTTTCGCATTTAAATTGATCCAATCAAACAGGAGGTGTATTTGTTTGAAAAAAAGTATCCATGAATTATTTATATCACTTTCAACAAAGATATCATTCATTTAAAAGTAAGTAAACAGTGCATCTGAAAATTAATTATAATTACAATAGGGCGTTCCTTTCATAGAACTTAAACATAATAATTTCCTTTTGCAGTCGATGGCATCTTTTCGGAATGGGAAAAATGGAGCGAATGTTCAGTCACGTGTGCAAATGGAACCCGGTTTCGTAACCGGGAGTGCTTTGGTCCATATTTTGGTGGAGCTAACTGCACGGGACCATTGCAGGAGAAGGAAGTGTGCGTTACAGCCGAATGTCCAGGTAACTTTGCTATTGTTATTGATATCGC